CAGCGCTGCAGTTAAGAACTCCTGCTTCTGTCATGTGTGGGATTGTACTTCCCCAAATTCGTATGTTGAAGTAGTAAGCCCCAGTATGATTATATTTGGAGAAAGAGACCTTATAGAGGTAATTACAATTCAATGAGGTCACGAGGATGGTATTCTAATCCAGTACGACTGGTGTTATGTAACCATATGAACCGTCAAGGAGGTGTGCCCCACAGAGAAAAGCTGTGTGGGGTCACAGTAAGAAGGCGGCCATCTGCAAGCCAAGGAGAGGCCCCAGGAGAAACCAAGCCTGCTGACACCTTGATCTACAACTTCCCTCCTCCAGAACTGTGGGAAAATAAATTTCTGTTGTTTAAGCCCCTCAGTCTGTACTATTTTGATATGGTGGTCCTAGCAAACTAATATACTAGGTCATGTGTTTTGGGGGACAACCTGGGAAAGTAGAAAGAATACACAGGGTCAACTGTGTGGTCTTGAGCAAGTTTCTTCACCTCTCTGACTCTTAATTCCTCATGTATAAATTGGGATTAGTCATGTGCATCATTTTGGGTTGTCATGGAAATTAAACAAGTTAACAACCACAAAGAGCCTGATAGAAGCAGCTGCCACTAACTTGCTACTAGACTCTAAAGTCCTTGCAGATGAAGACACTGCCATTTAGCTTCGTACCCATGGTACCTGGAAGCTCCACAGACATCATGGGTGCATCTTAAATGAGCGTTGATTCAATCAATGACATTTCGGTTACTGATTCAACCACTGTTATTCGAGCATCTTTTCTGTACCAGATTCTGTGGGTACAGCTGTGAGCGCTGCAATTATGGCCTCTATCTTCAAGCCTCTATTCTAGCAGAGGAGGAGAATCATAATCAGGTAAAGAACGAAGTTAGAAATATGATTTCAGACAGTTCTGTGTGTTATGATGGAAATCTATTGAGTGTCTTGATGAGTAACTGGTGGGAGGAGCTACTTTGGATGGTATTGTCAGAAAATTATCTGAAGATGTGATATCTGTTTTATTTTGTTTACAGGTTCAGGTGTGCTTTATTGGTGACTTAAATTCCTCTGTTGCTCTTATGAAAAGAATTTCCACAATGGTGAACGAGTCTTGGTACAGTCTTCTCTTGATGTACCCAGTAGCTATACTCTAGGAAAACGCAGCACATCTTAAAAGCTGTACTGTACCTGTAGATGTGGAAATTTATCAACAGGGTTTCCACCGATATGGATGTCCGACGGGACCATCCACAGTTGTGAGGACACCAGGACATTATTTGTTGTGCAGGAGAATTCTAGATGTTGCATGATGTTTAATATCTCTGGCCCACACCAACTAATTCGTATGTTGAAGTAGTAAGCCCCAGTATGACTATATTTGGAGAAAGAGACCTTATAGAGGTAATTATAATTCAATGAGGTCACGAGGATGGTATTCTAATCCAGTACGACTGGTGTTATGTAACCATATGAACCGTCAAGGAGGTGTGCCCCACAGAGAAAAGCTGTGTGGGGTCACAGTAAGACCCCAATAGAACTCCAATAGAAATCTTCAATCGTTGCAATAATCAGTCCCCCAGTCTCCAAGGCACCCTCAAAAGAGCAGTAGAGCTCCAACTGAGAGCCATGGTTTTAAAGGTTGCCTGTGACCTCCCAGTCTTGTCATCCACTTGTCATTCTCACTCTCCATGACCTTTGACATTGTGAACCAGCCCTCTGAGGTTTCCTTTCTTCAACTTTCCTCCATCTCTACAGAGTGTCCTGATCTGGCTTCTTGTTCTCCACCTGCCTGGCCATGAAGATCTGACTTTGGTTCCTTCTTTTTTCCTCTCCGCGTTTTGTTTTGTTTTTTTGGATGAAACTTTACCACTTCTAGGCAACTCCCCAGATGCTGTTTCTGTGCCATTAAAGTCCATTTTTTTCTCCAGCTGCACCTGGACCTTCCCTAAGCAAGCCCCAAGTTAAACATGTCCAACTGGTCAGCTTCCTTGAAAAGCTATTATTTCTTTGGCCATCCCCGTTTGGGTGACGGCAGCACCATTCACTCACTCAGCTGAAGCAGGGCAGCCATCTGGACCGCTCCTTCTCACTCCCACATCCAGTTGGCTGCTGGGTCTGGTCAATTCCAAAGAAGCGATTGAAGCTGGATAGTCAGGAGCAAGCCATGCACAGGTCAGGGCGGTGGTGATGAAGTTCGACGCCCTGGGAGGGCCACTCTATCCCCACGCCTCTGATCTTTATTTTTTAAAAATTCCTTGGGCCAGGTTAATTTTGCTAGACACTGGGCATATTGCCCTGAGCTAATTTGTTTGTCCAGATTAATTACCAGCAGGGGTGGCAGTCTGATTTTCACAGAATCCTTCTCTTTTGGAAGGATGGCCTTTTTAGTCAAACAGTCCAATTTAGGGTTTTTTGGCACAAAGTGGAAAGGGTGCCTTGACATTTCCATAAAGACATTTAAATGTTACCATCTCTGAAGAAACAGTTTTAGAATATGAAACCTTTATCTCCCCCCTCCCCAGCAAGGAAGGGAAACATCACCAGCTTAATTTTCTCTGTAAAATAGTTTCTTCCTTTGCTTTGCATGTTGCTAGTAGGAAAAAAGATAACAATACTGTTTTCAAAAACAAAACCGCTTATGGATGATTCCATGAAATTTTCTTCTGATTTTTGGCCATGTAAATAACACCTCAATCCAGAGACCAAAATGCTTACAGGGTTATAAGTGATCCTTCCAAGTTGGTTTTTAAAAGATCTGCTAGGAGAGACATACAGTTGAAAAGATGTTGCTTGGGATTGTTTCGTACGTGGAGAAGCCAGAAGCACACATAATAAAATCATATAACATGAACTCTACTCTGTTAACAAATTTTAAGTTTACAGCACACTATTGTTAACTATTTGCACGTTAACAATAGGCAGAGCTCTAGGACATCTTCATTCTGCATAAATGAAACTATTAGACATTTGTATTATATTATACCATTTATAAAAATCAACTCAAAATGGATTAAAAACTTAAAACATATGAGTCCCAAAACTATAAAACTCCTAGAAGAAAACATAGGGAAGACCTTCATGACATTGGTCTTGGCAATGATCTCTTGGATATGTCACCAAAAGCACAAGCAACAGAAGCAATAGTAGATAAAAAGGGCTATATCACACTAACAAGCTTCTGTGCAGCAAAGGAAGCAATCAGCAGAGTAAAAAGGCAACCTGTGGAATGGGAGAAAACGTTTGCAAACCATATATTTGATAAGGGGTTAATATCCAAAACTCTTGTAAAAAGAAAGATTTTCTGTTGACTCTAGATCAGGAGTCACCCAACTTGTTCTGTGTAAGGGGCAGACAGGGAAGATTTCGGCCTTTGCAAGCCATGCATATGGTCTCTGTCGCAACTGATCACTCTGCCATCGTTGTCTGAAAGCGCCATAGACAGTACGGGAGTGGAGGGGCATGGCTGTACCCCAATAAATATGTGAATGCAAAAATAGACTGGGTTGGATTTGGCCAGTGGGCCATAGTTTGGTGAGCCCTGACAAGGTCACCCCCCGCCCGGCTCTATTAACATTTTCGCTGGATAGTTTTTGTTGTGGGGGCTGTCCTGGGCACAGGAGGGTGTTTAGCTGCGTCCTTACACTAGATGCCAGTAGCAACTCTAGTTGTGACAATTAAAAATGTATCCCCAAACTGCCAAAGTCTTCTGAGGGACAAAATTGCTGTTAGTTGAGTAACTCTGATCGAGATGAAGAAAACAGTCTGACGAAGAGTAATAGGAAATATTTCCCTAAAACTACAAAAAGAACAGGGTAGAAGAATTGAGAAGCATGGTGTATTTGTCTTAGGTAGGTCAAGGTCTCCTCAAAGGAGTCATTATCACCTCCTAAATTTGGAAAGCACTTCAACAAACGACTGAAATGGCAAATGCTAGAAAAGTGCTCTGTTAGTAATGCCAATATGCGCTTAACCCACTTTTGTGATAGGCACAAGAAACAAAACAGCTCTACACGTTAGCAGGTCCTCAGGGGGCTGTCTGAGTCTGAGGGCTGGCCAGGTAGGAGTGGGAAAGCTGGAAAAAAGCTCAATGTTCTAGTTCCCACTTGGGCAAGGGTTTATTTTTCCTGCTTATCTGGATTCAGAACCAACACAGGCAGGGTGATTTTTGAAAGCGCTCACATGTTTCCCATTGTTTGGACAGGGCCAGACAGAAATGGTCCAGTTTCATTGCAAATTGGCAGTAACACATGTTTTTGAAAGTTAAAAACAGCCTAACATTCATGAGTGAATCTCAAAGAACGTTGTCCTCTTGGCCTTTGGAACAAACACCTGTTTTGCAATTGGGAGGGTAGGAACCATATTTACTTCAGAAATTGCTAGGTTTCTTTCTCTTTCTTGCTATGATTCTATTTTAACAATTAAAAAATTTGAGCACAATTAAAAATATTATAATACAGATATTCCTAACTTTAAGTGAACAAACAGAGATAGCCCACACTTCCTCAGGAATTTTAGTGAAACCCGTTTAGCTGAGTTTCTTTCCTGACTTGAAAACCCTAGAAAATGCATCGATCCCTTTTCTCCTTTAATAGAGTTCTCTTTAGTTAGAGATACCATTTTTCGAATTGATCGGAGGAAGAATGCGGTCCACATCCTTGAGAGCAGCTGGAAGTCCTGCCGCTGTCACTGTGCCCCGTGGCCACGGCAGACACCCTCATGTACCCGTGGGCCCGGGCCCCCAGGACCACTGACCACAGCCTCGTGAGGGGACCTCTGGTGGATACATGGAAAACTCTTTTTTCCTTGGAATCCTGAAGGGAAGTGCCCTTCACAGCCTGCCCAGAAATCTACATCTCAATTCTACCCCAAGAGGCCCAGCTCCGGAATCCCACCTGTCGGAGCCGCCCCTTCCAGGGAGCCCCCGCCGGCCCTCCCTGCCGGCTGGTCCAGCGTGGGTGGACATGGGACGCGCCTGACAGCAGTCCTTCCTCTCTGTCCCTCAGGCTACCACGGCCTTTACTGTGAGGAGGAGTACGACGAGTGCCTGTCCGCCCCGTGCCTGAACGCGGCCACCTGCAGGGACCTGGTTAATGGCTACGAGTGCCTCTGCCTGGCCGACTACAAAGGTGAGTGGCGCTGGGGCCTTCTTGTGCCGCAGTGGCTGTACCTGGCAGCACACGTCTCTCAGCTTGAATGTATACCCCTCTAATCGGAGCATGAAATCGTTTTGCATAAAAATCAAATACTGGCTGTGGGATGATTTAGGGGGTCGAGGGGACCAACATGCACATCTCGGGTTTCCTCTTGATGAGCTGAAAAATCCCCCTCCCGTCCTTTTCTTCTCCTGTCCTCACTCTCTTCTCTTTTGAAGGTGCAAAAGGCCAAGGATAAAGAATGCTAGTCAGTGGACTGTCAGGCGCAGATCAGGGACAAGGCTGTGGAAACAGCAGGAGAGGGAAGCATGGGGGTAGCTTAGTGCTTTGCTGGGCAAACACAGGAGGATGCTGTGCTTTTTGGTGGTGGAGGCAGGTGGGATCTCACACATTCGTATATAAGTGAATTCTCATTAAGTATATGAGTGTATATAAGTATATAGTTCTCATTCGTGTATAAGTGAATTCTTATAAGAGAAAATGATTCAGTTGGGAGGGAAATCCTCACTCTAACCCTTTGAGCTGGCGGGTAATGATATTGCTCATGAGCCCGGACAGCATGGTCCTCAGAGCCTGGGCATCGGCCTCCCCAGTGGGCTCGGGCCGCAGTTAGTGGGTGGTGCGTCTTCCCCGGAGCCCAGACACCCTCAGACAACACTGCGCCAGGAGAGTCTGTTTATCAGCAGCTGCCCACATTTCTCTGAGCCACAGGCTCAGGGCTGGGTTTAGATTTTTGTAATGCTTTTGTGGGCTCTATTTATAACCACTTCACTTATTCTGTTGCTCTCTGCTCTGCTTCCTTGATTGATACCATCCATCTGCCTGGTGACCTTGTATAGCAGCCGCTGTCGCTTGTCTTTGGATGGACCCACCTTTGTTTTTGGTGAGCCTCAAGGGTTTGTAGGCCCCAGGGATGAACTTGATTGAGCCCCTGGATGGAAGGGCTGAAGCGGGGCCAAGTCTTTGCTGTGTGTTTGGCAGATCTGATGCTTTTTTGGCCTGCGATGCCCATTCAGCGCCAAACCCCACCGACTTCCACGGGGGCTGACGTGCTGGGTTCATGCACATGGCTTCTGAGATCTAGGTCTGTCAGAGCATCAGGAACTAGGGAGTCAGTCAATTCCGGGAAGAAGAATAAGGGAGCAATGAATCAGGAGAGCTCGGCAGCTCACCCCAGTCATGTCGCTGGCTTCCCGACGAGCCTGGATAAGTCTCTTCAACTGGCCGGTCTTTATCTTGCCTCCGTAAAGTAAGGGAAGGGATGCTTACTGAGATTTTGAGATTCTTTAATGACAAAATTAGTAGTGGCGGATCACTCCAAAAGTTTAAAATTCAATAATTCTTTAGTTTATGGTAGAATTTATGATAGAATTTTATAAAGCAAATTTCATCTTCCTAAGTGACAAAGTCATTAATTGGGTGTATTCTGACTATGCCCCCAACTTCCCTGTTTTTGAGGCGTTGCTCATGCTATCAGGACCAAGAAGTAAAAAACACAAATGCCTAGGGTGACTCATCAGTGTCTCCACAAATTTATAGACTGTGACCCTAGACCCTTCCACTTCTTCCATTTTTCTCAATGGGTGTTCCCAAATTTTTCCACTTCCCCTAAAGCGCCATATTACATCGCTCACTCTTAGACTCTAACTGGTTTCACTTCCATCTTCATGGCATAAAAGAGAGGTTGTCATTTGTAAACATTGTCAAATTTATTTAATTTTTCACATTCTATGGTCATGGCTCTCAAACTGATGCTCCCATCCTTGCCTGCCGGTGGGCCTGTTCGCAGATCGCTGGTTCTCTCCTGGAGTTTCTGACTCAGTGTGTCTGGGGTGGGGAGCAAGAATTTGTGTTTCTGGTAAGTTCTTAGGTGTTCTTGCCATGCTGGCTGTGAACCACCCTTTGGGAGCCCCTGCCATCCACACTTCTCTGCAACCACAGCCCCTAAAACTTGGTCCTCTTCCACGTCGGACGACCCCCTGCTCCTCATCCTGCTCACGGCTGCTCCTTCCGTATGTGTTTTCAATCCTCCCTACCCCCTACTTCGACCTTTCTGTGACCTCTTTCCATCAGTTACTGACTGTGCAGGAGGTGACTCAAGGAGTCAGAGGACCCTGCAGGGGACGTCAAACACGTCCGAAGATTTGGGTTCTCAGGAAAAGGGCGCAGGTGCCGAGAACAACAGGGTTAGGGGATGTGGTTCTGAGGAGAACCGAGGACTCAATGGCCAGCTGAGCCCCAAGGACCCCTCGGCTTATGGAGAGGCAGTGCCTGCTCTGAAGGAGCTACCTGTTACCCCATGAGGCCGAGGGCAGCGATCACACGGATGTTGGCTGTCCTCAGAGGGAATTGCACGGTGGGACCAAACGGGGCCTTCTTTTCTGTGTGGCTGGGAGAGAATGCTCTCCTGTCCACACCTGGAGAACCCCAAGAACCTGAAACGGGGAGGCCTGTCCCCTGTGCCTTAGTCATCGGGAGCCTATAGGCTGGCCCGACCAGCACTGGAGGACAATCCCCCGTGTCATCTGGCCCTGCCTGGCATTGCCATCCTCCAGCCTAGCCAGTACAGGAAGCCTGGACCAGCACCTCGAAGAGGGAAAAAAGTCTGGGAACCATAAACAAAAGTGCAACAACAAGCAACAATGCTAAACGCTCAAGAGAAGAAGTGAGAAAAGTAATGTATACTATTCAAAATTCAATTTAGATCGTCAAAAGAAAAAGGAGGAACTAATTCATGATAGAAGTAAAAGTAAGAAGAAATGGAAACCATGAGTTGAAAGACAGGAAATGCAGAGGAAAGACTCAAGAGATCTGTTTCCCTTTGAATGATAGATGCTCCCGAAGAAGAGGAACACTTGGGTATAAAACCAGAATCAACTCATTCCTAGAAGGAAAAGTCTGTGAACAGAAGAAAATTGAAGTTTTCTAACAGAATGGGCTCATTCAGTGCCAGAGGATTAATAAAGGAGATGAGGCACAATTTAGGATTTCCTGGTAGAATTTCCAAATCCAAGGGTGAAGACAATTGTTTTTATAAGATTCTTCACAAGGAGTACAGATTACATACAAAAGAAAGAGAATCAAACCGACATTGGACTGCTGTTCTCTATCTTGAAACTGAACAAGAGCAAAGAAGTGTTTCAGACTTTTCAATGAAAAGCACTGGTGGTTAAATGAACATTTATATTTCAGGGCAAAAGAATGACATATTGTGCACATTTAAGGATACAGAAAATATAACACCATGTGCCCTCTGTAAGAAAATTATTTTTAAAAGTATTCTTAGTAAAATGGAACAAAATCAGAACAAAGATAGCCAGATAGCAGGAGGTAGAGAACAAGAGGAATAGGGTTGAAGACAGTTCCTTAAGTGCAGGGAAAAATTTAAATAGATGATATTGATGTGATTGTAAATGGTAATTTAATGGTGAAGAAAAGTCTTGAGAAAATAGGTCTAATTCTGTATGAATAAGTACTGTTGCATAGTGAGTCACTAGAAGGCAGTGGGCTGAGACATCACCTTTTTACTATCTAGCAGTTTCGGTGGTCCAGGCCGAGCCTAATGGACTCCCTGCTCGGGGCCTCACTAGGTGGGAACGAGATGTTGGCTGGGCTGAGTTCTCATCTGAGGCTTGAATAGGGAAGGATCAACTTTCATGTTCCCTTACATTGTTGGCAGACTCCATATCTTGTGGCCGTGGAATCGATGGCTGCTTGCTTCTTGAAAGTCAGCAGTAATGAAAGTGGGCCTCTGCCAGTTTCCATACCTCACTTTAAGAGAGGCTTGCACATGCTGACAGCCTCACCTGATTAGGCCAGGCTCACCTAGGATGAACTCAGAGTCAACTGATTAGGACCTTAGCTGCACCTTCAAAATCTCTTTCTTAACTTTTTCAAGATGTTATTGGTTAGAAGCTCATGCTCAAGGAGAAGGTCTTACACATAGGTGTGACTTATTGGGGATTACTGGCATGTGTCTATCTACCTTTTGTAAAGGAAAAATTGAAATGATCACACTAAAGTTTCATATCATTTTAACCAAATCTACATGTTAAAGGGGATGGGTAGTGGGAAAGATCGGAAGATATACAAGTGTGTTCAAGATCTCATCCCAGTGGGCAGGTAAAGTGATTACTTAATTTCAGTATATTTGTGGAGACATTTAGGTTTAAATAAGACTGCTGAGAACAAGAAGGTAGATTCTTGCAAAGTAGCCATAAATAGAACTTGTAAACTAAGAATGATGGGGCTGTGGTGTACAAGGAGTTAAAAGAGAGGCAGAAAGGGTTGAATCATGTTCTCCAAAGCAGAGGAAGAGCAGGTGAGGGGTCAGGGGTCACAAGGTCCTGTGCCTTTCTTTCCTTGAGGAATGGGCATTCTCCCCCTTTTCGGAAGCATTTCTTCTGATCTGTATTTATACAGAAGATGTGTGTATAAACTTATGAAACTATCAGATGGGTGGGCTTCAATTCCTAACTAGTACTTATTTTTGACGTTAGAACTTAGGTAGGTGGTATATTGGGGGGAGGGTTGGGACTTTAACTTAGTTTACACGTGTATTTTTTTTTAAGTGGTGAGTTTTACTGTTTGATGTTTAAAAGTTAAATGAATGAGTTTAACTTCCTAAAAAGAATGACTATCATAGGAAGTCAGGCAAGTATAGCTCAGAACATTTTGTAAAAGGAAAGCAATGAGGGGAACTTCTCATGCCAGATGTTAAAACCTACTCAAATGCTGCAATTATTCTTACATTCCCATGTTACAGGTGCAAGAATGGACAGCTGGCCCAAACTGAGTGATGGTCCAGAATCCCTTGCCTGTAATAACAGGCATATAAAAAATGCATGACTCTTAAAGAAGACTTGCTATGAATGAGAAGGGATTTAAAAAAAATGGTGCTAGAATAAGTGGGCTGCTAAACAGAAAAAATAAATGTTCTCACACGTCTAAATAAATTCCACATGAATTAAAAA